CCAGGGACATGACTACCAAAGGAGCCTGGGGATGTTGCGTGTGCGATAATCAAGTTTCTTTGTGTGTATGTGTTTGTGTATGTGTGTGTGTGTGTGAATTGTCAATGTGTTTATTTAGCTAACTGGATGAGATTATGTGGCGACCGGAGGTCGGTGTGGCCGAGTGTGCATGGCAATGTGTCCGTGTGTGAGCGTGTATGAGTGGGAATACGTGACAAATGACGTTTAACAGAGTGGAACAGGACATGCCCACATGTGCTGGGCATTTGCTCGAGCCCTCGGCCGAGACGGAATCACGGCGAGCCGGACAGAGACGAGGAGACGCCGTGACAACCCGAAGGGACACTTCCCTCGGGGCTGGAGGGGTGGCGAGGAGCACGGGTCCCGTCTGCACCACAGTTCACTGTTGTTGCGGCGTTGAGTGAGGAGAGTGGAATCTGGCTTGATTGCCTGCAACTCTGCCAAAATTGTCTGATGAAACGATGCCTCGGTCCAGCTCGTCGATCCTAACACGTTGGCCAATGTCACGTTGTGCCAAGGTGGTGTGCCGTCGTCATGACGACAGTGTCGTTGAGCGCGTACATTTTGCGGCATAAAGAGCAGTCATATCTTCTCTTCTACGCCAATTTGAATGTGCATGTTCTGCTTTTCTGGTGTGCTACTTACTCTACGACAGAAGATAAGATAGGCTAAGCTAATCATCACTTCTGCAATTTACTCGACTCGTATTTACCTTTGCTCACACACTCTTCCACTCTCCTCTTCGTCACCAACACTCTCATCTACACTCCTCCCATATCCTCAGCCCAGGCATTCATGTGCTGGGCTAAGGTGATTGGACAATTTTTCCCTGTGGCTTTGTCTTTGCCCCTTCAGGAGCGAGCCATGATTGGCTGAAATCGACCAATCGGCCCTTGGGATTGACGGGCTGCGAATTGGTGCAGTTTGCACGCTCCACTCGCTTTCCAATCCCGGCTGGAGGCATTTGCGAGGCGATGGGCAGTTGGGATCTGGCACCCACCCTGAATGGGAGCAGAGTTTAGACCACAAATCCGAGGGGAATTCACTGGCAGCATCAAGTTCGTCTTCAACTGTATCGTGCACTGGTCTTACAACAAACAGCCTGCCAGTTTGCCAGTGTATACATGAAGAACAGCTGGGTTTAAAAGATTTGCCTAATGGTTGCATTTCATGCGAAAAGTTGGCTGAAAGCGAATCGCAATTTGGCCGGACCGGAAACCGATGGAAATTGGTGGTCTGTACCATTAAGACCTCGTCGTATCCTCCATCCGACTCGATAAATCTACGTTTCGCTTTCATCAGTTCTGCTTTTACCAACTTTGTCAAGACGAAACTCCATTCTTTAACAAAACTTCCGAAAAACTATATACAAAGAAAATTTGGTTTTCGAGGAATCTCTTGTTTCATAATTGTTGAGCTCACTTCCATTTCGAGTGGAAGTGTTGGATAAAGAGATCCGATGGTCCGTTCCACCAGAAAACGACGGCGGATTCCTCTTGACCAGCTGTCGATTGGCTTTACTGGAACGTTCATGCGGACGCTGTTTCCGAGGCAATCTCCTTCGATTCCGCTGAAAAGGTGCTAAGCTTTCGTGCGTCATATGACGGACATCGTCAGAGCAAGGTACCATCAGTAATCAAATTCAAGCCAACGAGTTAAGAAAACTCACAGGCACATAGGCATATAGAAACAGACACACTCACAGGCTTCGAGGTTGACACATGACCTTAACTAACCAAATCACTTGATACTTGATCAAAGAGGCCAGATGTAGAGTATGCATGCCACTATTTAGGGATTTGCCGGTAATTTTTTAAAATTCGTTAGATTGAATTTGGTTGTGACGATGATACCTTGCTCTGATGATGTTCTTCATATGACGAATCTTTTCACCGGAATCGAAGTAGATTGCCTCGGAAACAGCGTCAGCGCGAATGTTCCAGTAAAGCCAATCGACAGCTGGTCAAGAGGAATGCGCCGTCGTCTTCTGGTCGAATCGACCTTTGAATCTCTTCACCAAACACTTTCACTCGAAATGGAAGTAAGCTCAACAATTATGCGACAATAGATTCTTCGATACCCAATTTTTCTTCGCATATACTAACTTGTCTTCCCACTATTTCGTTTAGTGTGATGAAGGACTGGTAGTAGAATTGTCCCACAATGATATGACTAGAACTGACGCTTACATTGAATTTGACAAAGCCTTGCTTTCTCGAAAGTTGTTCTCATCCAGGCACCAGTG